TGACGGCTAGCCGGCTTAGCCGGCTAAGAGTCTATCGGCTTAGCCGGCTAAGGTTTTTTTAACGGCTGATATCACTAATTTATTTTGCATAAATTTAATAATAAAAATAATAAAAATATTATTGCGTTTTTCTTAAATTATCAAGGTACGTCGTCGCTAATACGACAATAACAATAATTTTTAAGTATGTGGTCATATTATTTTTAAATTTTTTCGAAAAATCAAAATTTATTGTTGATATATAATAATAATGACTGTTTAATCTGAGTGGATTTACAAATAATATAAAATATAAAAATATAAATATTATAAAATAAAATTACAGTGTTACATTTATTAACTGTTTAAAAAAAAATTAGTAGGAATGATTGATTTCACAAGTGTTGTTATTTAAAATCGATTTGCTTATTAAGATTGATATCAACACATCAGTTAGCAATTTATTTACGACATTTTGGGTAGGAACGTTTGATATTTAGTCAAATTGTTGACGATGGTAGAGTTTTGATGATTATTGAAATTATTTTGACTGACGAAACAGCTGTCAACAAAATTTTGATGGTTAATGCTCGTAATATTACTTGAGTTCTGTTCAGCGACGAAATTGTTTTGGTGACTATAAATCATGTTTTGACGTATGTAATTCTCATCACCAGCATTTTGATAAACGTCCTCGTGTTTATGATTTTGTTGAACGTAATTATTATTACCGATGCTTTGATAAATTTCTCCAGGGCCCTGATGGATGAGATAATTATGAATCATGTTTTGATGAGTGTAATTATTATCACCGACATTTTGATAAATTTCTCCAGGGCCTTGATGGATGAGATAATTACGAATCATGTTTTGATGAGCGTAATTATTATCGCTGACATTTTGATAAATGTCTTCTGGGTTTTGATAAATTGAATTATGAACCATATTTTGGCGAACGTAATTATTATTATGATAAATTTCTCCATGGTTTTGATGAACAGGATAATTATGAATCATGTTTTGTTGATAAGCATAATTATTGTCACCGACATTTCGATAAATATCTTCAGGGTTTTGATAAATTGTATTATGGACCATGTTTTGGTGAACGTGATTATTATTACCAATGTTTTGATAAATTTCTCTAGAGTTTTGATGAATAAGATAATTATGAATCATGCTTTGATGAGTGTAATTATTATCACAGACATTTTGATAAATTGTATTATGAACCATGTTTTGGTGAATGTAACCAACGCCCTGATAAATTTCTCCAGGGTTTTGATGAGCAAGATAATTATTGTTTTGATAAATGTCTTCAGGGTTTTGATAAATTGTATTATTAGGAGCTGGGTATTGATTAGTGATACTCCTCGTTTGTATTTGCCCATTCGAATTAAAACCGTTATTCCAATCATCGAAATTTTTATTATTATCCATTTTTTGATTTTTTTGATTTTTTATTATTATTATTATAATTATAAATTTTTTTTTTTTTAAAAAAATGAATTTTTTGCCTGTTTGAACAATCATCTTTTATATATGTTTAAAAATATTTTTTATATAACATATATATTTTAATTTAAAAACGGCTCAAAATGGTAGTACAACAATTTTGAATTTATTATTCAAACAAGTTTTTTTAATTTAACTAAATTATATATTATTTCCTATTTTGGATAACATACATAAATATTACCAGAAAAAAAAATTAATTACACTGATAAATCAACCAATTTAGAATCATGTAACTATAACTACAACAAAAAAAAAAACAATCACACGATTTTATATTTAAAGATCACTTTGGATGTTATTCCCTCTTTGGATTTTTTTGCCTGAGGTTTTCACTGCAGTTTTTTGGATACATATTTCCTGTCATGTATTTTTTTTCTTTATTATTATAAAGTTGTAGATGATAAATATAAATTATTAAATTATATTACTCCTCCGACTTGATAAATTTGAGATTAAAAAATCAAGGCGGCGAGGAGTTTACTGAAATTGTATTCAGTTTTTTAAAGAGCCCACGACAAAACATGATAAGATAGTGATTATTTCAAAATTTACTTTTTATTTTCAAACTGAGTCACACATATATACACACATACACACATACACACAAAATTTAAATGGTAATTTTAACAAGAAAAAATGTCCATTACGGAAGTTCATTTATCGTTGACAAAAAAGACAGACCAAAAAATTCCGGAAGTGAGTGGTATGTCGATGTTAATAAATATGGAATATAAAAGGAGTACAGATTTATTATTTATCATAAACAAACAAACAAAAACCCGGAAGGAACATTCTCGTGTAGCACATACGAATCTTTGTACTAATAATATTATTTTCCAAGATTAATATATAAGGAATGAATTACTACTTTTAGCAATCATTTATAAAGTTGATACTTAAATTTGAACCTTAAATTTTATCAAGTGACCGGGCATAGTGATTTTAAAACCTAACTAAATAAATTATAATATAAATCTTGTATAAATGACATATTTTTCTCTCGGTCGAGAGAAAAAAATGAAAAAAAAAATCAAAAATTAATATTTATAAATACAAAATTTTCCGTTTTCGCTCATTTTAACTGATAAACCATGGCATAAGATATCAAAAGATCCAAAGTAAGAGCAAATTGGATCATTAAAAACCACGGAAAGGCACATTCGTTTCGCTATAATAATTTTATATCATTAGAATTAGTTGATCTTCTTATCAAAGAAAACGTGACTTTTATCTAGATATCTTGTGCAACGATTATTATTACAATTCGGAAAAACAGATGATAGTCTAATTGAACTAAAAATACAAAATGACATCAATATCAACGTCAACAACAACAACAACAACAACAACAACAGTAATAATAATGACATGGATCAAGAAATATCTAAATTATATTGAATTATTAAAAGGACATTCCATTAAAAATAACAATAATTGTAGTATAATATCTTTTCTTTCTTCAAGTTCCCTAACCAAATTTTTCCATTTTCTGTTCCATGTTGTGCCAAATATCCCAATTTTCTTTTTTTTATTATTTAGGTTTGTTGATATTATCAGTTTCTGCTAAATATGGTTCCTCAATTAATTGCAACTAATTGCAGCATATGAAAATTGAATTGCAGCTAATTGCAGTTGTTAAAATATCAGTCATGACAGATTTTGTCAAATTGAATCTTTGACCAATTGCTGTATGCATTCAATGAAATCAATTATAGTTGGATAATTACAAACTTCATTTTTATAATTTGGGTAGCAAAGAACCCTGTAACACTAAATTATTGACATCTTTACATATATTATGGTGGCCAATTTGTTTCCAGAATTCTACTATTTCAGGATAAATTAATATTGCTCTTGCAATTATGTTCAAATTGCCTGTTGTTTTTAAATCCGTCCTTGGCTGGATACTCTTTACAATAAGTATTTGCATTTCTATTTGGTAATCAATTGAGTCTTCAAATGGGATCACTGGTCTTGGGGAAAGGCATGAACTTTTTATTTAATATAAGATCCAATTATTTTTTTTTGGAGCCAAGTCTATAGCTAATGGACTCCCTGTTAAAAAATGAAACATTTCAATGCCATTTCCTTTCAAGGGAAGGCTTTCACCATACTGTAGTTTGGCTTCTTTTAACAAAGCTACAAATACCATTACTGGAATATTTGGGGCCCAGGGATTTCTATAATATTTTCGAGAAGCTTTAGATATTCCTTGATCCATGTCATCATTATTATTGCTGTTGTAGTCGTTGGTGTTGATGTCATTTTGTATTTTTAATTCAATTAAACTATTGTCAGTTTTTCCGAATTGTAATAATAATCGTTGCACGTCATGTATAATTCTGTAAATATTCCATACAAAATGCACGGAAAATGCACGGAAAAAAGTTTTATAGGGTAAATACAAGAACCCGCATCATGTATTATTTTTTACTTTTTCATTTATTTGTTATATATATTAATATGTAATCATGTGTAAATAATGTCGTTTTGAGAGAAAGAAAAAAAAAATAATATATATAAATACAAAATTTCCATTTTAACTGATAAAAACATCGTATAAACTATCAAAGATCCAAAGTAAGAGCAAATTGGATCATTAAAAACTACGGAAAAACACATTGCTCATAACTT